TTCGCGTAGCTCAGGCTTTCCGTTCAGCAGCACCTGCACCGGGCCAACAGCGAGAGGTCGCCACTTGTTGGAAGGTTGTCGTCGTCAGAGGCACCAGCGGTGGTCGTGGCAGGCTCGCTGGTGTTCGTGCTGGTCGTGGTCGTGGTGGTGGGCGTTGTGCTGGTTTCGTGGTCGAGGTGGTCGTGGTGGTCGTTGTCGTGGTAGTCTCGCCAACAGGGGTCGAGAAGAAGAAGAAGCAGTTGTGGCCCGATGCATCCAGCACAAAGCCGTCAGGACACGTGCACACATACGACCCACGCGTGTTCTTGCAATAGTGCGAGCACTCGTGCGTGTTTCTCAAGCACTCGTTCACATCCTCGCACGTGTGCCCGTCGCTGCCCAGCTCATACCCGGCATCGCAGCTGCACGTGTACGACCCAATCGTGTTCGCGCACGAGCCACGCTCGCTGTCACAGGGGCCAACACCGCCGTTTGCCGCACACTCATTAGCATCTTCACATGTGCGTGAATCAGAAGACAGCTGCCATCCGGCTTCGCATGCGCACTCGTACGAGCCTGGAACGTTGACGCATGAGCCATGAATCTCGTCGCACCCGTTGCTGTCGCTGCTCCGGCACTCGTTCACGTCCTCGCACGCGTGCGCGTCAGCGCCAAGCGCATACCCGGCGTCGCACCCGCACTCGTAAGAGCCAATCGTGTTGCTGCACACCCCGTGGCTGCCGTCGCACGGGCCAACCCCGCCGTTCTCAGCGCACTCGTCAACGTCCATGCAGCTCAGCCCGTCAGACGCAAGCTCAAACCCGCTCTCGCACGTGCACTCGTACGACCCAGCGGTGTTCACGCACGTCCCGTGCGCAGCGTCGCACTGGTGCGCCAGCGACGCGTCCTCCGTCGTGCACTCGTCAACGTCAGCGCACGTCGCGCCGTCGCCCTGCCAGCCAGACCGGCACTGGCACGTGAAGCTGCCCGCCGTGTTGGTGCACGACGCGTTCTCGTCGCACGGGTTGCTGTCCCCGGCACACTCGTCCCGGTCAGCGCACGTGAACCCGTCGCCCGTGTACCCGCTCGCGCAGCTGCAAGCGTACGACCCAGCCGTGTTGGTGCACACCGCGTTCGCGTCGCACTCGTTCAGCTCCGCAGCGCTGCACTCGTTCACGTCCAGGCAGCTGTACCCGTTGCTGCCAAGCTCGTACCCGGCACCGCACCCGCACTCGTACGACCCAACCGTGTTCGTGCACGTCCCAACGTCCGTGTTGCACAGGTTGTCCTCGTCGCTCGCGCACTCGTCCACGTCCTCGCACGTGTGCCCGTCGCTGCCCAGCTCATACCCGGCATCGCAGCTGCACGTGTACGACCCAATCGTGTTCGCGCACGAGCCAACAAGCGCGTCGCACTCGTTGTCCGCCTCATCCGCGCACTCGTTCACGTCCTCGCAGTCGCGCCCGTTGGACGCAAGCTGCCACCCGCTCTCGCAGCTGCACTGGTACGACCCGGCCGTGTTGCTGCACACCCCGTGCGCCTCGTCGCACCCGTTGCTGTCGCTGCTCCGGCACTCGTTCACGTCCTCGCACGCGTGCGCGTCAGCGCCAAGCGCATACCCGGCGTCGCACCCGCACTCGTAAGAGCCAATCGTGTTGCTGCACACCCCGTGGCTGCCGTCGCACGGGCCAACCCCGCCGTTCTCAGCGCACTCGTCAACGTCCACGCAGCTCAGCCCGTCAGACGCAAGCTCAAACCCGCTCTCGCACGTGCACTCGTACGACCCAGCGGTGTTCACGCACGTCCCGTGCGCAGCGTCGCACTGGTGCGCCAGCGACGCGTCCTCCGTCGTGCACTCGTCAACGTCAGCGCACGTCGCGCCGTCGCCCTGCCAGCCAGACCGGCACTGGCACGTGAAGCTGCCCGCCGTGTTGGTGCACGACGCGTTCTCGTCGCACGGGTTGCTGTCCCCGGCACACTCGTCCCGGTCAGCGCACGTGAACCCGTCGCCCGTGTACCCGCTCGCGCAGCTGCAAGCGTACGACCCAGCCGTGTTGGTGCACACCGCGTTCGCGTCGCACTCGTTCAGCTCCGCAGCGCTGCACTCGTTCACGTCCAGGCAGCTGTACCCGTTGCTGCCAAGCTCGTACCCGGCACCGCACCCGCACTCGTACGACCCAACCGTGTTCGTGCACGTCCCAACGTCCGTGTTGCACAGGTTGTCCTCGTCGCTCGCGCACTCGTCCACGTCCTCGCACGTGTGCCCGTCGCTGCCCAGCTCATACCCGGCATCGCAGCTGCACGTGTACGACCCAATCGTGTTCGCGCACGAGCCAACAAGCGCGTCGCACTCGTTGTCCGCCTCATCCGCGCACTCGTTCACGTCCTCGCAGTCGCGCCCGTTGGACGCAAGCTGCCACCCGCTCTCGCAGCTGCACTGGTACGACCCGGCCGTGTTGCTGCACACCCCGTGCGCCTCGTCGCACCCGTTGCTGTCGCTGCTCCGGCACTCGTCGATGTCACGGTCACACGTGTACCCGGTAAAGCCCTGCGAAATATTGAATGTTGTGGAAAGCACTGTTAGTCAGCATCATGTTGCTGCACACCCCGTGGCTGCCGTCGCACGGGCCAACCCCGCCACCAGCACAACAACGCTTTGATTCGCTCTTATTCCACGCAGAAGGCACAATGCATTCTTCCCTTCCCGCTCTTCCGGTGCTTTCTTACCGATGGGCAGTCGCATGTGTACCCGCGGTCCGCTGTCTCATCCATCGTGCACGTGCCGCCGTTCTGGCACACGTCGAGGTCGCACGCGGCCTGGCACGAGTCTCCAATGTACCCATTTTGGCACACGCACTCGCCCGTGTCACCGTCACAGAAGCCGTGCCCGTTGCACTTTGATGCCGGGCAGTAGAACTCGCACTGGTGCGACGCCGAGCCAATGTAGTCCGTGTCGCAAACGCAGTTTCCTGTGTACACCGAATGAAGCAAAGACGATGGTAAGATGTGAGGTTGGTTCAACAGACGCGGTGTTGGTTAACAGGTCTGCATGCCTCTCACACGCCAACAGACACAACTGTACTCCAAAGGCAAGTGTGCTTGTGTGCGTGTGTGTGCATGATGCTGGCAGTACCTGTGTCTTGGTCGCATGTGCCGTGGCCGTGGCACTTGGATTCGCGCGAGCACTGGAAAGTGCACAACTCGCCACTCCAGCCTTCATCGCAGTCACATTGGCCCGTCAGTGCGTTGCAATCGCCGTTCTGCAGTATTGTGCGTGTGTGTATGTTTCGCGTTGTGTGAGTACAGGTGCATTTTGAGCCACACGATACAAACCACCGTCGATGTGCATCTCACACAAACACAGCAACAAACAGGAGAGAGGGCAAGAGAAGCAAGGTGGGTTGCACTGTGTTTTGATAATATTACCTCGCAGGCGCAGAGTTCGCAGAGGGTTCCGTAGCGCTGGCCGGGGCACCGGCACACGCGCTCGCCCGTGTCGGCATCGCACTCGCAGCGGCCACCGCCGTTGCAGCTTGGGCAGCGCTTGGGCTGGCAGTTGCCGTACTTGTCTGGCGCAAAGCAAGGGGCGCACGTGCACTGGCCCGTGTTGACGTCACAGACGCCGTTGCCATCGCACACTTCGCCCTCGCCCGTGACAGGGTCGATGCCAGGGCAGGCGTTGTCGCAGGACTCGCCCCACCAACCTTCGGCACACACGCACTCGGAGCCGTTGACCCGGCGGTCTGTGCCCTGGGAGTGGAAGTCGACGTCCACACCCGTGCATGTGTCCGTTGCCGTGGCCACAACGCCGCAGCGCACGGGGCAGTTGTCCTCTTCGTTGATGAAGCACGTGTTGACGTTGTTGACAACTTCGCAGTCGCACTGGATCTCCTGGCTGCAGTCGCCGTCAGGACCGCCCCAGCCGCACTCGCACAGGCAGAACCCGCCCTGGTCGCATGTGCCGTGGCCGCCGCACACCTGCCCGTTTGTGTCGCGCGGGCACTACAGAAAGGAAGACGGGGGGATGTCAGGTTGTCAGTGTGTGAGTTTGTGGGTTTGTGAGGTGTGTGGGGGGTGTAGGGATGGGCCACAAAGTCAGCAGGAGAGCACATGCGTAAATGAGCATGGTGGTGGTTGCAGTCGAACACACAAGCAGACACGTGGTAAGTGACTGTGTGTGTTTGTGCGTGCGTATAGGAGAGGAAACACGGGCATTCTCACCTGGATGCTGCAGTCATCGCCTGCCCATCCTTCGTGGCAGTCGCATGTTGTGGATACGCCCCACACATAGTCGCCGTTACCGCTGCACCAGTCCAGGATTGGGCTGTGCGCAGAGACGGGGCAAGTGTGTGTTGTTTGTGAGTGTATGGGTGTGTGTTGTTTGTGAGTGTGACTGGAAGCGAGAAGGCGCATTGAATCAAAACGAAACATACGCAATGTGCATGCCTGTGTGTGCGTGAACACGAGCCCACAACTAGCGTGTGTGTGTGTGTGTGTGCCGCACCTGTTGTAAGCGCTGGGCACGGTGGCGGTTGTGTTTGGTGAGATGACGGGTCCCGGGAGAACGCGGCAGATGGTGTTGCCTGGCGATGGGATTTGGTAGAACTCGGACGCCTCGCACAGGCCGAGGTCGGTTGTGCCGGAGAGGCAGCGGCCGAGGCTGAAGCTCCAGCCGCACCCGTCTGCATTGAGGCAGGCCTGGCAGTCTGTGTGGGCGGCGCACGATGGGCAGCACGCATCCTCCAGCCAGTTGCCTGCGCACGTCGGCTGTGTTGCAGTTATGTGTGTGTGTGTGTATCCTCCAGCCAGTTGCCTGCGCGTGAGGTGGTGAGCGATGATGTGTGTGTGTGTGTGTGTTGTGTGTGTGTGTGAGGTG